CTGTGAGCGTGGGAATGTACACAGAAGAAAATGTTAAGTAGCTAGGGCTATATAATGATTCTGGTGAGTGGGACGAGAAAAACCCACCCTCCTGACTTAAATGAATGAGCAAAGGACAATGAGGTTCAAAACCTTCACTTAAAAGTTAGGTCCACTGTAGGTGATACCAAACAAGAACCCCTAAGTCAAGCATCACAATGAGACAGCTTTAACTGGCATAAGGAGAGCAGCCTAGTAGGACCCAAGGCAAACCTATAAAATAGCTTCTCTGGGAACTTGAAACCTCTTTCTTTGCCTTTATGGTATATCCTGACTTCCCTCCCCCTGCTGCATTTAAGACCCTCACTTTGCATTCAAGTGGCTAAAATCTGTACTAGAGACCTCGCCACATTTGCGTAATTCCCATGCACTGAAATTATCCCTTCCTTTCCCCGCCACTCCTGAATCCCCAACATCAAGCAAAACTCCCATTCCTTCAAGCAGATCTCCTAGTTAGATCACTTGTTTCCAATATAAGGCCAACCTACCCCCTTCCAGAATAAATGAAGAAACTTTTAACCCAAAAGAATCTTTAATCAGCAAAACTGGCTAATGCCTTAAATTTCTTCATCTATCCATTCATTCACTCATTTTACAAATACTGAACTGAATCCCAGACACTTGGGAAACAGCAGTGAATAAAATACAGACCACTGCCCCACGGACCTCATGCTCCTGTTCTCCAAGACTCCTCCACGACATGCACGGACGTCCACAATAGGACTTAGCCTGTCTCAGCTGGGAGTCTCGCTCCCTCCAACTCCCTCACCACACTGCAACCAGGGCAAGCTTTCTAACACATGCAGGATCCTGTCCTCCACCCCCCACTGCCCAGAGCAACGAGTCAAAATGCACACGGCACAGGCCCTGCCTGGTGTGAACTCAGCATAGTGCAGGGGGAAAGCATTGGCTCAACAGGCTGGCTGTGAGAGTAAGAGAGGAGAGAAACATACACGGTAATAAGCACCTGAAGCACCAAGATGAGCAGAATGCCATCTACGTGTTCCTCACATAAGCCTCGCGGCCACTCACAAGCCACCCCAGGCCCTGGCACCCATTTGCAGCACTCAGGCAAGTTCCACTGTGTCTCTTCAATGGCATCCCCATGCTCACAGAAACAAGGTGCAAGCTTTCATCATGAGGTCACCTTTCCAGCACCTAGCCCATCTCACACCTCCACACCTCTCCATCCCGCCTACGCCGTGCTGCCTGCAGCTCTTTGGACAGGCCCTGCCCTTCTGTGTCTCGAATCTCACTGCAGTTCCCGTTGCCCAATCCTCAACCTGCTGACTTTCTACCCATCCTTCAAAGAGCAGCTCAAACTGTGACTCGCACCTCTAAAATGAAGGTCTCTTCATTTTCCCTGTATACCAGACCCTTGACGTTTGAGACGGACACGGACAAAGCTTTCTGGAACCCCCATGTTTGCACACATCATTAAGGCATAGATATTCACCCTTAAAATGCAAGTACAAGGTAGGCAGATAACATGGAAGAGGGCAGCTCGTTGTACTTCCTCGCTCCAGCTAACCCCTTCAGAGGCGTGACTCACATTCACGCCTTAGCGCAATTACACCTGACAATAACCAAAGACATTAAACACTAAATCTGAGCATGTTATGGTATAATTTATTAGACTATCAAATGATCTTTTACTAGATTATAATTCCTTGAGAAAAGGAGCTTTGACATATGCAACACAGTTACCTCTGTATCTCTTGAGTGTCACACATGTGAGTAAGAGACTTTGGGGAAAAAAAAAAAAGGAATGAAATGTGGATGAGAAGAATCTAGAGGATACTGGATTTGTTTTACTGTTTTCTCAGAATATTAGTTAATGGCCCCACATCAACTGGAAGGAGTTCTTCCAAGAAATAACTCAGCAGGGGTGACACTCATACACACGAAGGGCGACCGGAGTGGGGGTGGGGGCAAGAGGCTTTCTTGGGAGATCTTCCTGCCTTACTGGCTTCTTTGGGGAGGGCAGCCTGCTTCAGGAAAGGGAATTCTGGGGCCCTTCACCTTGCCCAACGTGTTGGAGTAACTAAATGGCACCAGTGTGAGAGGCAGACTGAACCGTTGAGCAGGAAAATGCGTCTGCGAGCATACCACCATGCCTACTTGCACACATACCACCCCTCTCGAACAAGTACAGCCAAACTGATGCTGTTAGAGCAAACTTCAGCCTACCCTCAACTGAAGCCTACTGCTCAGCGGTAATATGACCAAACATCCATGCACGGCTGCTCTAACAGTCAACACAAGGCAATGGGAATACATCTATTACTCCATCATCAAGAAATGTGGCAGAGGGCGCCTGGGTGGCTCAGTCGTTAAGCGTCTGCCTTCAGCTCAGGTCGTGATCCCAGGGTCCTGGGATCGAGCCCCACACCGGGCTCCCTGCTCTGCGGGAGACCTGCTTCTCCCTCCCCCCACCGCCCCCTGCTTGTGTTCCCTCTCTCACTGTGTCTTTCTCTGTCAAATAAATAAATAAAATCCTAAAAAAAAAAAAAATGCGGCAGAGTATTAATTTTATTTTCCAGTGAACAAGGACGAAGGTTTCTACTTGTCAGCAGGTAGCGTGGGCCCCTGAGTCAGTCGTGCCTCCTCCAGCGGCAAGTGGCCCCCCGCAGCTGTGGCCTCACCTGCCCGTCCACCTCAGCATCTTCCATATAGAAATCATAGCACCCCCTTTGCTTGTGGAAAAAAAAAAATTAAAACACTAAACCAAAATTATTCATGTTTCAAAGATCATGCCATTCTTCCTGGAAAACGTGCTGCTGACACTCTGTCTTCTATTCGTTCCAAGATTTTTCCATAGACAAGCATGTACTCTTTGGGTGGGTTGTTTCCATAAAAAATGTCATCATTCCATACCTATTGTGCAGTTGGTTGCTTTTCTTTTTTCTCAGCAGTATTTACGGATGCTTTTTCATCACTCAAAACAACCAAGCAAAAACCACTTGTGGTATCTAGTTGACTTATATTTTTTGTGGATTTTGTGTTCATCTTTACAAATTTACCTTCTGCTGACAATGTCTTTCTAAAGGACTACTATTTTTTTCCATTTATTCTCAGCTTACCTCTCCTAGTCTATGCTCAATAGAGCAAAAATTTCCACGTGTTATAATTGCTTGAGTTTCAGAAACACGTTTTTGGTTCTGACATCCTATGGATTCCTTCGAGGTAAAGCACTTGCTTTGCATAATCTTATCAACTTCAGTTCTTGCTCCACAAGTCAAGCCTACACAACAACTTCCTGTTTGCATAACAAGTCCAGACCATTCCAGATCATTTAATCAAAAGAACGTTTCCCTTAAAGAGCAATTATCTATTTTCTATGGAATGCTAATAGGACCATATATGCATTATGTGTATTGCAAAATGCTTTCTCCTGCTAACATCAAACCCAACCTACTGATGTTTGAGAAGAAAAAAAAATCTAGCTTAAAGAACTGGTCTCATAATTATCATAATTACCTTTCTACATATGAAATGTAATGTTTGCTGTTTTCAAATTCAAGGGCATTAAGTACTTGGTGCCAAATTAGATGGCTAGACTCCTCAGCCTATTCCCAAAGGTGCCTCCCCCTGCCATAAACTGCCCAGTGGCTTATTCTCATGTGCCTGGTGCCCCATGGAGCCCTCAGAGTTGGGGCGACGGGGGAGGGGAGCCCCTGCTGTTGCTTCAGACACAAGTCCAGAGGGCGTGCTGGTCCATGGGTGTGTAATGAACACTTGATCCAAGGGACGGGAGGTGAGTGGGAAAATCCTTTAATAATTGCACTGAAACTATTAACATTTCGTGGTTTGTGGAAGTTTTTAGACAATCAGGGGAAGCTGATATTCATGCTTTCAACCACAGCACCTCTTTTCCCACAAATAACTCCCTGACATTGACTCCCCCCCGTTCACTCCCTGCTCTACATTCTTTCCCTGGCAATTATCCTCTTTGATTAAAACAGCATTGGAAAGAGGCATGAAAACATCAAAATGATCGTTTCTGAGGTACTTGGTATATGCAATCTTCAGAGGACTCAATACCCGTAAGTAGAATCAAAGCATTGTATGTGAAAATTAAAAATTATAGAGCAATTTAAAGTGTTCTGAACTCACCAGACTCGCATTACGTGAAGAATGATGGTCAATAAAATACAGAGAATCTCTGTGTTCATCGGAACACAGCACGACTCTCCACAGTCTCAGCCCCCTGAGCAGGAAAGCCCACTGGCCTTCGGGGGACACATGGGGAGAGTGAAATCTGAAGCCACACATGTCTGAGCAGCGCTCCTGGGCTCCTGGGCACTCAGGCAAGAGAGAGGTGTTGTTCCAGACCTATCACCGGGACGGCTTCCTTGCACACATACCCCAGGATCTCCTCAGCCCCAGCGTTCGCACCTCGTCCACACCCGTGTTTCCCTCTATTTTAGGGCAAGGACACAACTGTTACCTTGTTTATCACTAAAGCTGTATCATGTTTTACATGCTACCATAGCTTTAATCCTCAAAACCCTGGCAGCAGGCCAGTCTTCTCTACCCCGTAATAGGGGCATAACAATAACAAGATGAAAACCGCTTGGAAATTAACAGTCACGAAACTCCACTTTCTGTTGGCCAGACTAGTACCTGCTAAGCACCTAGTGTGTATCACAGACCGCACCATCTCATGAAGCGCCCTTAGCTTACTGCTTCAGTGACCAGAGGACGGGCAGACGCTGAACCATAACAAAACCGGGTAGAAGCACCGCTGGGTAAGTGTAAGTGGGGATGCCCTGTTCCCAGAACAGCCTCCGAGCCTCCGGCGGAGGCCCCGCACCGCCTCACGCGTCCTGCCGATGCGAGAGCCCGCGGGGCAGGAGCCCGCGCGCACGCTCAGAGCCACGGGCGCTCGCGGAAGGCACAGCAGCTGCGTGCGCGCGGCCCCGACTCCATCGCGGGCGGCAAAGCGGGCCCAGACTGACCTGCTGCACGTCTTGCTGGAACACGCAGAGCTGCAGCCGCTGGTGGAGCCGGACCTTGCGGTGCTGCCAGATGTTCTCCAGCTGCCGCTGGTGGTGCAGCACCTCGTGGATGACATCAAGGACGTGGTGCACGGCCTTGGAGTAGTTGGCGGAGGCCGTCAGGGAATCGGAGCTGCCGGGAGTCAAAGGCCGCTGGAGCTTGTCAAGGAGCGACTTCCCGTCCTGGCTCACCTTCCGACAGAACAGAGGGCCGATTAGCCAAGGGTCGCAGCTCTACCCCCGCCGGGAGCCCAGTACCGGGCTCGGAGCGTGTGCATGCAGGCACACACACGCACGCACTCACACTCACATACAAATATGAACTGCAGTTTTACTCAAAGCATATTTTATAAAGAACAAAATAAAATTTAAAACAAATCCCTCAGTTCTCCAGTGATGCCGCAGGACCAAAGGTGGTAAAACACCGAGTTAAAAGAATGTTCATTTTCATACATGACACTAAATGCCATTCTTAATGAATAAACATAGTATTTTGCCTTAAATGGCATATATCAGTTGATATAATTGCATTGTTGAGTTATCTACAAATTAAGATTAAATGTAATAATTTTCTCTTGAGGTATTGTTAGAATTAAACAATCACAGTGGAGGGCGCCTGGGTGGCTCAGTTGGTTAAGCGACTGCTTTCGGCTCAGGTCATGATCCTGGAGTCCCTGGATCGAGTCCCGCATCGGGCTCCCTGCTCGGCAGGGAGCCTGCTTCTCCCTCTGACCCTCCCCCCTCTCGTGTGCTCTATCTCTCTCATTCTCTCTGTCTCAAATAAATAAATAAAATCTTAAAAAAAAAAAAAAACCAATCACAGTGGAGCAAAATTTTAACAGTGAATCTCAAAAACCTCAGTTAAAAAAATACTATCTAGCCCTTGGCAAAGAATTATGTACTTAATCTTTCTGATGTAGTTGGATAGCAATTTTACCTCACAGAATAAAAATTTTCAAGTACCATTTTACTTGATTCATGAACTTAAAGAAATTTTAATTAAAGTGCCATCATTTTTTGAAAGAGATTTCAGTATTATTTCTATACTATGGCAGCTAACTACCAAATTACAATGAAATGAAAGCATTCAGACTAGCCAAAGAAATAAGCAAAGGTAAAAATGGAATATGGAAAGAAAAGCACTATGTATTTTTTACATTTAAGTGATTCTTTTTTTTTTTTTTTTTAAGATTTATTTATTTATTTGAGAGAGCAAGAAAGTACATGAGAGGGGAGAGGGTTAGAGGGAGAAGCAGGCTCCTCGCCGAGCAGGGAGCCTGACGCGGGACTCGATCCAGGGACTCCAGGATCATGACCTGAGCCGAAGGCAGTCGCTCAACCAACTGAGCCACCCAGGCGCCTTTAAGTGATTCTTAAGATTTATAAAGGACTATGCCAGATGTGGCAGAAAAAAATACAACATCGGACGATCGAAAAGACACATGGCCTAAAATGTAGTGAGGCTGTGATTCAGGGGGCTTCTCGAGTCAGCCCCCACCACCACGATCCCTGTGCTCAGATACTTCTGAGTCTGAAAACCTCACTGGGTTTCTACAGAAAGGAGGAGCAAATGGGAGCCTTGTGAACAGACACAAGCAGGGTTGAGAAGCAAACCCGCAGGAGGAGGAGGAGGAGGTGAGCGGGACAGACCACCACGGGAAGCCCCCAGCAACCAGAAGCCTGTGGAATTTCCTTCCAGGGTCTTAAAACTTTCAGTCGTGCTGGAATGGAACGTGTTTGATTCCTAAGACCTGATTTTGAGACCTCTGTGGGCAGTGCTGACTGTCCTTATGAAGGCTGGTTGTCAGCCTTCATAGATTAGACTGATCGAACTCGTCAAGATAGCAAAACTTCAGCAGAAACAGCCAAGGTGACATAACCAAAGAAAACAGGTGAAAAAGAACCAACTAAACCACTTAGTATCAGGCATGTGTAACAACAAAAATAGTGAAAATGTAAGTCTTCTAAAGTAGAGAGTTGTCCCAGAAGTCACTGAAACTCACGTGGGCAATTGTGATACAATGACTTTGGAGAGGGAGGCACCATGACGGATTTGGGAAGGGACTCACTGTGAAGGACCCAGAGAAGCAGGATATTACCTCGAAATGAAGACCTGTCCTGCTCAATTATCTGAGCTAGGCTCTATTTAACATATACAGATGAAGGTTCTTCCTTTTTTTTTTTTTTTGCCTACTCTAACATACACTGATTTTTTCAGGAATGCAGTTACCATGTTAATCAAAGCAAGGCAGTGCCTGGTTTTCTTCGGAACTTTATAAGAGCTGCTTACCATTTCAGAGTAGCAGCACGATAATGCCATTCTCTATATCGGAGTCACCAACGTAACACATGTCCGATCTGCATTTGCTATATTCGCAACAGTTTTTTATCTATGGCCAACATAGGTAAGAATCTGAATATCTAATTTTTTCTTCTATTGTGCATGTCCTTAGGCATTTACAGGAACACATTTTATTATAAATCACCTTTGTCTCTATATTGTGGCATGTGATTTACATATATGTACACACATAAATTTTATGTGAAGATAGATTATTCATACAATTTACTCTAGCAGGCATCAGAAAATGTTTTGTTAATCACTGGGGGTGTAGCTTCTCTTAGGACTGAAAATCAGTGCCCCAAGTCACCCATTTTATGTTCTATAGAGCCTACTAAGAATTCATATAAATATTTCATCTAAGTTTTACTCCTCATAACAAATGTAAGTAAAAAAACGTACAGAGCATATGATTTGGTGAATATGTGTTAGAAGGATACAGACCAGAGGTATGGCAGAAATGGAGAGTTACCTCCTCAAAGTCCACTGGCCCCTCCTTGACAGCCAAACCCCGATAGTCAGGTATGGCAATTCCCCAGCATAAAACTGCATTTCCAAACCTCACTTACAAACAAGAGTAGCCAATATACAGAAGTAAAAAATATTGAGGGGGCTTCCAGGAAACATGTTTAGGAGGTGGTGTATGCTCATCCCCCACTTGCCTCTTTCCCCTCCCTGCGGCCAAGAACTTGGTGGAGATGGCTGGAGCTTTAGCAGCTAATAATAACCTTGAGGCAGCCTTAAGGATAGCAGCAGGATAGCAGCCTACCTGCTAAAGAGGCAAAAGACAAAAGGATCGAGAGATCTCTTGCTAACAGAGCTACTGCACCAGCCCTGGAATGCCAGCCTTGGGACTTCTACCCTGGCAGAAAGCAAACCTCTTATCTTAAGCCATTGTTTTATATCACACACTAGAAATACAAAATTCTCAGGCCTCACCAGGTATCCACAGGCATTCATGTAATACCAATAATATTCTACTACTATGAATAAAATAATCCGAGCAAGAATATTCCAATGAATCTGTCTTCCCTTGGGGGTCTCTGTAATAATATTCAGCAAAGCTCCGGAGCAGATATTATTATTGGGTTTAGAAGAACACACTGGCTCATGACAGGCAGGTGGTGGGAAATGGCTGAGTTCATACAGAGAATGTGAACACACAAATACCTCAACATAAGACAACTTATCAAGCAGAACCCCGCCTTCTGGGAATTCCTAAGCAGGGACTGAAGGGTCCGCGTCAGTGTCATGGCTGCCGCTCTCAGTGGCGGACAGATTCCAGGCAAGAGAACATCCCTTACGCCCACTGAGACCACACACAGTCAGCACGCGACTCTAGCACATGCTCACTGAATCATTTCTCCAACAGACCTTTTGGAAACAATTCTATTTCCTTGCACCTTTTTTTTTTCATTTTTGTTTAAAGATTTTATTTATTTGAGAGAGAGAGAGCGTGTGCACGTGAGACAGAACACGAGTGGTTGTGGGGTGGGGGGGAGAGGGAGAAGCAGGATCCCCTCTGAGCAGGGAGCCCAAGGTGGTACTCAATGTGGAGCTCGATCCTAAGACCCTGAGACCACGACCTGAGCCAAAGGCAGACACTTAACCGACTGAGCCACCCAGGTGTCCCCTCAGTGCAGCTTTTATAGATATGTCGACTGAAAAGAAGCTGTTCAAGCACATAAAGGATATCATTTCTATTTCAGTGACTTCCAGCAAAATGTCTGTCTTCATTAGTAGAATAGTATTTTGTAAGGAAAAAATATCCTACAAATTTATGAAGGCAACCATTCTACTGCATAGAAATAAAGATTTTTAAATGGTACACAATAACCAGAAGAGAAATAATGAAAGACACTGGAAAGTATACAGCAGCCCAAATATTACTATATAGTTAGTTTAAGTACTGAAACAAATAGCCTACGTTTATGGTATGTGAGGTAGTTCTAGATTTCTTAACCATAGAACAGGTGAATTAATTTATTGAAGTTACATGTTTTATCTAAAAATATTTTTCTAGGGCGCCTGGGTGGCTCAGTTGGTTAAGCCACTGCCTTTGGCTCAGGTCATGATCCTGGAGTCCCGGGATCGAGTCCCGCATCGGACTCCCTGCTCGGCGGGGAGTCTGCTTCTCCCTCTGACCCTCCCCCTTCTCATGCTCTCTCTCTCTCTCTCTCTCTCTCTCTCATTCTCTCTCTCAAATAAATAAATAAAATCTTTTAAAAAAAGTAAAATAAAATAAAAAAATAAAATAAAAATAAAAATATTTTTCTAGCTTTCAGGCAGTCAAACCCTGTCCCACAAAGGGATAATAGCTGCAAAAAAGATCAACCTTTATTATCAAAAAGCAGGACTTCTGTAATTTTTGAAGAAATCAAACTGGCTCATTTTTTCAGGTTCTGCTCTTTGTTTTTCTTGGAATACAGTGCTTGAGGACTTCATGGATAGTGCAAATTACATTTTACAAAAACTAATGTTCCATAACTATATGAACTAATATACTCTAATAACTAAACCAGTTAGGACAAATGAAAATTCTTAACTGTTAAAAATCTGGAATAATGGTCTGGTACTTGAATTTTACTTTTTTTAAAAAAGATTTTATTTGAGACCGAGCAAGCGAGCATGCAGGGGGAGAGGCAGAGCGAGAGGGAGAAGCAGGCTCCCCAATGAGCAGGGAGCTTAACACAGGGCTCGATAACAGGACCCAGAGATCATGACCTGAGCCAAAGGCAAATGCTTAACCAACTGAGCTACCCAGGCACCCCTTGAATATTTACTTTTAATCAAACTCCACGTGAGATTTGTAAGATTGGCAAGATCTGGATTTCTGTGTGTTCCACCACAC